CACGTTCTACTCAGGAACATGAGGAACATAAGGAACATCTACAGGAGAAGGTTTAGTTAGATGGCCAAAGAAGACCAGGACTAAACCAGGAGGAGGTGTTACTCTGACCTTCTGATGTTCTGACCTTCTGACGTTCTGACCTTCTGACCTTCTGATGTTCTGACCTTCTGACCTTCTGATGTTCTGACCTTCTGATGTTCTGACCTTCTGATGTTCTGACCTTCTGACCTTCTGACCTTCTGATGTTCTGATGTTCTTTGTTCTTTGTTCTTTGTTCTTCATTCTGTGCAGAACGAGGAGGTTCTGAAGCGTTGTGCTCAGGAGTATCTGCAGAGGATCAAACAGGAGGAGCACAGATACCAGACGCTCAAAGCCCACGCCGAGGAGAAACTGGACAAGTACGAATACTGCAATATTTACTGCAAATACTACTGCAAATACTACTACTACTACTACTACTACTACTGTAATACTGGTACAAATACTACTACTACAAAGCCCACGCCGAGGAGAAACTGGACAAGTATCAAACTGCTGCTCTCACAGTTTGTGTTGTGGCTCCTGATGTTCCTGATGTTCCTGATGTTCCTGATGTTCCTGATGTTCCTGATGTTCCAGTGTGTCCATCAGGTCCAGACTCGGAGTGTGTGACATCTGACTCCAGGTCAAGATTTTCCACTTCAACCTGCTGAGCCACGAAGCTCCAGAATCATGAAGATCATGAAGAACATGAGGAACATGAAGAACAAGAGGAACATGAAGAACATGAAGAACATGAAGAACATGAGGAACATGAGGAACATGAAGAACATGAGGAACATGAGGAACATGAGGAACATGAAGGAACATGAAGAACATGAAGAACAATGAGGAACATGAGGAACATGAAGAACATGAGGAACATGAGGAACATGAGGAACATGAGGATCATGAGGAACATGAGGAACAGAGCCTCCACTGAAAACCTTCAAACTTCTAACTTCAGATTCAACAACTTTTCCCTGACAAATGCACATTCCACTGTTTCCATGAACATGAATCAGGTCGTTTTCCTGCGTCACACGTGACGTCCACAAACCTCCACAAACGTCCACAAACGTCCACAAACCTCCACAAACCTCCACAAACCTCCACAAACCTCCACAAACCTCCACAAACCTCCACAAACCTCCACAAACCTCCACAAACCTCCACAAACCTCCACAAACCTCCACAAACGTCCACAAACCTCCACAAACCTCCACAAACCTCCACAAACCTCCACAAACCTCCACCTCCACAAACTCCACAAACCTCCACAAACCTCCAAACCTCCACAAACCTCCACAAACCTCCACAAACCTCCACAAACCTCCACAAACCTCCACAAACCTCCACAAACGTCCACAAACCTCCACAAACCTCCACAAACCTCCACAAACCTCCACAAACCTCCACAAACCTCCACAAACGTTCCACAAACGTCCACAAACCTCACAAACCCTCCACAAACCTCCAAACTCCACAAACCTTCACAAACCTTCACAAACGTCCACAAACCTCCACAAACGTCCACAAACCTCCCAGAGTCCAGGGTTGAGTCCAAGTTTAGTCCAGACCTGGACCTGGACCTGGACCTGGACCTGGACCTGGACCTGGAGCGATGGACGTGACAGAAACACGACCTGCTCTGACTCTGACTCTGACTCTGACTCTGACTCTGATGTTCGGTGAGATGTTTCTCCAGCAGCAGCAGAAGTAGTAGTATTTGTAGTAGTAGTATTTGTAGTATTTGTAGTACTTTGGCCCTGAAAAACACAAATACTACCATCAATCAGGAGATCTGTAGTATTTGTAGTAGTAGTATTAGTAGTATTTGTAGTACTTTGATGGTAGTATTTGTGTTTTTCAGGGCCAATCAGGAGATCTGTAGTATTTGTAGTAGTAGTATTTGTAGTACTTTGATGGTAGTATTTGTGTTTTTCAGGGCCAATCAGGAGATCTGTAGTATTTGTAGTAGTAGTATTTGTAGTACTTTGATGGTAGTATTTGTGTTTTTCAGGGCCAATCAGGAGATCTGTAGTATTTGTAGTAGTAGTATTTGTAGTACTTTGATGGTAGTATTTGTGTTTTTCAGGGCCAATCAGGAGATCTGTAGTATTTGTAGTAGTAGTAGTTGTAGTATTTGTAGTACTTTGATGGTAGTATTTGTGTTTTTCAGGGCCAATCAGGAGATCTGTAGTATTTGTAGTAGTAGTATTTGTAGTATTTGTAGTACTTTGATGGTAGTATTTGTGTTTTTCAGGGCCAATCAGGAGATCTGTAGTATTTGTAGTAGTAGTATTTGTAGTACTTTGATGGTAGTATTTGTGTTTTTCAGGGCCAATCAGGAGATCTGTAGTATTTTGTAGTAGTAGTAGTATTTGTAGTACTTTTATGGTAGTATTTTGTGTTTTTCAGGGCCAATCAGGAGATCTGTAGTATTTGTAGTAGTAGTATTTGTAGTACTTTGATGGTAGTA